GGGGCTGCTAATGGGGTCTCGGCTTACCCGCTCGGGTGACCGCCGCACAATAGAAAGGCCCTCAATCTTTCATGCCCATCGTCCGCGCGCGGTCTGTCGCCCCCTCGACTGACTGCGTGCGCCAAGCAAGGCCCAAACCCGGCCGAGGCGTTCAAAAACAAATCCTTTGCGGTCCCCCAAAAACCGACACGGAACGATGGGCGTTCTCCCGCCGACGGCCCGTACGTCAACAACTTTGGAAATCTTCAGTCGGAGCGAGAAACGCGTCTCCGCGTCAAGCCGGCTCGGCGCGCGCATGCAAGAGGAAAAGGGACTGGTTTGACTCACAAATTTGCGTTTCAGCTTGGCCTTACTGCCGCGGGCGGGCTTGTCCTCCGCCGCCGTCCCCGAGCTGTCGTCGCCGTTCAGGTCCAGGTGGTTGTCGGCGGAGACGCTTTTCCGCAGGTACGCGGCGCGTGCCCGCAAGTGAGAAAAGGGTGACTGGGAGCGGGGTCTGGCTCCCCCTGGCTCCGCTTCGTCTTCGCCCTCCATGTTGTCGTCCTCCAAGCGCCACAGTTCACCTAAAAAAATTTAAAAAAAGTCGAAAAAAATCAAACAAAAATTAAAGGGGGCCCGTGCGTCATTCGACTGGGAGCGATGGCCTCGCTTCCAGAGCTCGCCACGTTGAATTGGACGTGCGGCAACATTCCATTCAAGGGTTAGGGTGACAAGTCCTCCCCCTTCCACGTTCACACAGACAACAAATAATTCGAATAACTGACGTGGCTCTGATGCACACATTTTTGCGATGCGCCTCATGTCATGGTTGCTCACCAACAGCGAAAGCTAACCGGAGTGTTCCAATCGGCCGACCGCAGGTCCGCGCGCCGAATGAAAATGGCTCTTTTAGCAACGGGGAGAGGCAGGAAGTCATTCATTTGCCGCCTTGTCTTCCGGCGCCAAGCGTTGACATGCGTTGGCTCGCTCGCCGAGCGCAAACCGCACGCGACTTCCATAGCGCTCGCCCCGATGTTTGCCACAAACGCCGCTGACCTTTGTCAAATCCGAATCCGGTCGGGATCCGTTCCTTCGAGGCGCGCTCTCAACCTTCCCAAAAGTGTTTCTTTTTCAATGTTAGGAGCACAGAAAAGAAGGACTTGAAAAAACGTCAACGTTGCTCTTGGCGTTGAAAACTCCTCTTTTCGAAGCAGCCAATTTCTGAAGAACACGAACGGTGACTTTGTTGGATGGACTATTTCTTCCGGTCCACTTGCGCTCGACAGCGGCCTTCCGCGGAAAGCGTCGCCGTTCACAGACACCGCAGTCGTGTCACGGAGTGTCTCGGTTTGGAAAAACGTGCACTCCAACCGCGTTTGCGCCATGGCCTATCCCTACGGGTTGCTGGCATAGACAGATGGACAAAGATACTGTACGCTGTTTCTAGTGGGAGGGGGGGGGGAAGGACTTGAAAAAAACCACCATAATGGGATGGCAATGTGGCGCGGCGTTCAGGAATCAAGAGTGGCAACTGTGAGGCCGGCCGAATCCAAATGAAACGGTGACGTTTGCATTTTACTCACGGTGCCTCAGCTTTACCGAGTGTCTGTTGACATTGGCACCGTCTCGCGCACACGCGCGCACGCACGCACCCACAAAAAGACAACAACAACAACAAAGTTTGAGCAGTCGCAGCAAAATAATGAGCAAGAAGGGGAGACGGAAGCGCGGCGGCATTCTGGACAATGACAGCGGTTGCTAGGCAACAAGGGGCCACGTTTCGTCTCTCGATTTGGATATTTTTAACAAGAGAGCGGCGGCGGCGGCGGCGGCAGCAGCGGGGAACAAAGACACCCAGCGTAAAAACTCGTCGCGACCGGTGCCGATAGCCAAATCGAAACGGGCCTCCCGAAGCCGGCCGTTTCCGAAGCGGACGCAAACGCAGAGCGAAAGTGGGAATCAATTCCAACGGTAGTGGACAAGCAATCCAAAAAAAACGGTGCGCTTGAGAGATGGAGGGAGGATGACGTACGAGAACGAGAGCTTTTCAGGAAGAGTTAAGAGCCATTCAAACGGAGAGCGCAGCCCTTTTTGACCGGAGCCCACACCCGTGTGCTCGAAAGCGCTCAAAACGCATCGGAAAAGGATTGGATGTCGCGGCTAAGCCTTCGCCATAAGATCGCAGCGTCGGCGTGTTGGTGACATGCTTGGAGCGCCGGCGCCATCCGGTGGGGCGGGGCGGGGATGTCTGCATTCCCAGATGCCAAAAGGCCACCGCAACAACTACCGGCGTCGAGTCTTCGGATCGCTCGCCCAAAGGTGGCGTCGCGTCACTTTGTTCATTTCGGCGAGCAAGCTGACGAACGCTTTTGATCGGCCTTATGTGACGTCGACGTAAGACGGGGCCACGATCGCGGGCCGGCGGCTCGGGAAGCACGGCCCCCAGCGGGGAAACCGGAACGCTCACCTGCGGGCGGCAGCGTGCGGGCTTTCGGGCCGCCGGCAGCGGGCGGGTTCTTTCGGCGAGGCGGACTTCCGCCGACGAGGTCCGAGCGGTGGACTCTGGACACGCGCGGGGACTGGGGGATGCTGGGTAGGGTGCGGGACTTGGCCAGGGTGGGTCTCTGCAACTTCCTTTCCAGCGACCTGGTGGGGAACAGAACAGAGCAAATCCGATTGCTGTTGGGATTGCAACCGATGATCCCGACGGAAAAAAATAATAATAATAAATCAACGCCGGTAATGCGGGACGGCTTCTTGCAGCCGGCGCGCCTGGCGTCGAGCGGCCCTCGCCGGCTGGAGGAGTGGCCCGGATGCCTTTCTGGCAGAATGATTAGCAAGCGCTCGCGCGCCTTTTCCCCAAACGGCCGCCCCCGCCCGCGCACGCAAAGCAGTTTACTGTTAAGGAGCGACAAGAGAGCAGTTGTACAGATCAATGGTGAAATGGCTTCCACCTCAACATAATCAAGTCGGAGGCCATTTCGGAAAACAAGCAGCGGAAATTGCTTTTCTTTGAGGCCGGCCGATGCCACCGAAGGGCCCGGCGGGAAGCCGATCAATAGGCAGCGGCACCGCAGCGCAAAGCGCTCAGTCCAATCGTCTGGAGATGATCGGCAGGCACGTCGAATCGCACAAGACCATTCGACCGCTCCGGCGTAGAAAGCGCGTCCGGCGTCCTGCGTCCTGCGCGAGAGCAATTCAACAAAGAATCCAGCGCCACATCGTTGGGATGACTCGCTCGGCGCCGCAGTCGGACCCCAAACGAATCGAGACGACCCTGCGGCCGATCCGTTTCCGGCGCCGTGCGGACGCACTGACTGAAACGCGGTCAGCATTTGCGACCGCCGCTTTGACTGACGATGGGGCAATTACGCGCAAGCTGCGTTTGTCCGGAAACAGTAGGGATTGGTCGCCTTCCGTTTGCGAGACGGCCCGGACGTGCCGCGGGGCTTATGACCTCCGCTGAGCACGAAAAGCGGGAGGCCGTGTTTTGACCGTCGTTTGTTTATGGATGAGGGGAGAAAAAAAAAGAAGACAAAAAGAGATTTACATGAGATTGGAATCGACTTAGAGTACATCTAACCGCACTGCAAAAAAAAAAGATCAAGCACAAGGGGACGTCTCCCTCTGGTAGGGGGGTGCGATCACTGTCCTCGGTACTGAACGTGGCACCCGGTAAAGCCCCAAAAGAGTCGGCTGGCGGCCCACCCGAGAGAATTTGGGTGGAACTTCGGGCTGGAACCGACACGGCGTGTGGCTCTGCGGAGCGCGGTGGCGAGACCCGCCCCTTTTCACGGAGCCAGCCGCTCAATAGGCCGATTTCGAGCGGCCTTTTGGACAACTGCCGACCAAGTATTTATGACTTGTCGGCGCGAGACGTTCGTCTTTGATTGGAACCGGACTTCGTGGAGGTGACTCATGGCGAGTCCGTCTCCGACGCCTAAATAAGCATGGCGTCTTCGTGCGAGCGTTACGAAAGGGATCATTTCCTGTTTGACAGTTTCCAAATTGGGAATTCAAAAGCGACTTTGAGCAGCCGAGCGGACCGGCGGGAGAACGCTCACTCGCTCGCTCGCTCGCTCGGCCCTCTGTGATTAAACCCCGCTTATGATTCATTATGCGCTGAACAACTTGTCCCCATTTATTACGGCTGCGTTCCAGACGGGGTGCACTTTATTCTGCCTAGCCCACAAGGAGCTTTCTTTTTTTGGGGGGCTGGGGGGGATAAATTAGTCAGTCCACCTCTTTTGCTCATGAAACTACGTTGATAATAAGATCCGAAAAAATAACCCTGAAGGTGTTCTAATGAAAGCCACGCCAGCACTCACTCACTCACACCAGAACGCCTCTTCAAACGAAATTGGAGAGGAGAGCGCGAGCCTCGATTCCTAACGGCGGCTCGGTGACGCCTGTCAAAGGCACATCCTCCAACTGGAGATGCGGTGACAGAAAGAGAATCAGAAAAGTTCAAGTGAGAGGAAAGAAGGTCAGAAGGCCACGCTAAGAACGAGGCGGAGGGCATGTGCGAGAGAGACCCAGACGGTGAGCGGGAGATACGGACGGACGGAGACAAAAGAGACGACAAACACACGAGAGAGACGCAGCGCTGGTTATGGTGTCCACCCATGTGCAAACGTGCGTCGTGAGAAGGTGATATTTGTCAAATCTGCATCTGGTCGGAATGTGTTCAGAGGAGGCGTGCGCTTAACCTTCTTTAATAAAAGTGTTTCTTTGCCAACTTTAGGAGCAGAGAAAAAAGAAAACTCTCGGGCTTGACGTTTGGCCGGATGCAAAGCAAAGTTGAGTTGTTCGGAAGTCCTCTCCTCCCACCTGCGAGGTACGGTCGAGGAGGCAATCGGGTTTTGGGGCCGCTCGCTCCCTACAGAGCCTGGACGCATCGCTGTCACCGACAGGAAAAACCAAATGCCGAGGCACGGCATCAAGATCTCCCAAGGAAGACTCCCGGAATGAAACCTCAATCTCCTTCCTGACTGTCACGCAAGTCCGATCTACAACCGCAGGAAACGTTTGGTGCGGGCGGGCTCTTGCTGCCAAACGGAGACGAAAAACAAAGAAAGTCTAAGATGACCCGGATGAAGATGAATATCTTCAGAAAGGCAGGGCGCGGTTTCTTGCGACTCGCGACGTCGTCCGTCCGCCGTCCCTCATTTCAGCGGAAGCCGCGGGGAGCAATGACGAAACTTGGTGCTAATTTCAACGCTGAAGCCGACAGTGAAGAGAGGACACGGTCGCCGCGTGGGACGGCAAGATGCGCGACAGCGTGTCTTGCGGCCAACGCGCTCGGAAAAGCTCGTCTATTTTCATGGAAATGGGCGGGAGCCATTTCTCCTTCCGGAGAACATCCGTCAATGGGAAGGAACCATCGTAGCCGGCAGCCCGCGGCACAGGTGGCGGCGCGCATCCCGCGCACCTCCGCGCTTATGCTACACCAAGCCTGCTCCCGCGCATCAACACGCGGGCGTACAAACAGCCTGATGGCTGAGCGGCCTCGAGGGAGGGACGGAACCACTCATTTCATTTGCGTAATCTGATAAGATCGAACCCCCCGCCCCCTCCAAAGATAATGACAGAATCCCGTAGGACCGTGCGATACGTTGGAAGAGCTGCAAGAGTGGCATGGCTCGATCTTGCCAGCTGCAACGGCGTGACACAGCAACGACGGCATGACGACGACGACAAGGTGTCCCCGAAGAATTGACTCACTCGTTGAGCGGCCGTGACTCGCCGCCTTTGATTTTGGGCGATCCACGCGAATACTTGATTTGGATGAAAGAAAATCACAGTTTCCATTTTGGGGGGCACCCTGTCCATTGGAAAAGGAAAACAACACATCCAATTTCAAAATCCGGCTTCCCACCTCAGATCACGTCCTTCTCGGTTTCTTTTTCCAGGCGTTGTTACTTTTACCTCGTGTTGACACAAAAGGATGACAACATGATGCAGACCAACGGGGGGTTTTCGTATCGCTGCTGCCTATCGACGCCCAACGGTGAAAAGTGGAAGACACATCGCCAAAATCAGTCGCTCGTTCCGTCCCGCGAAACGAAAAATGGGCTTTGCTTTCCAAGATGGGAGCGCACCGAATCAAAGCGAGTCACTTTACAACGTAGCGCCCTTGAATCCGATCGCACGCTACGTATTCAGATATGTGATCCGCAACGCTTGGATACGCGCGCACACGTTTCCCTCTTGGATGGACGCCCGGCGAATGGAACCCAACGGCGCCGCTTTGCTTTAATCATCGCACCCGACGGCGTTTCTCGAGCTACGCATCCAAGCATCTTTTATCGGAGGGACGACTTTGAGGCACCCCCCAATTTTCAAATTTGATGTCAGTGAGCTAACCGTCATCGATTCAATAGCGAGCGGAGATTTGGCGGTCCGTGGAAATCACCGGGGACTCGTGGCCTCACGGTACTGAGGTTCAGGGTTCGAGCCACGCATTCAGAAAACACGCACGTTAGCTTCCCCCGCGTCTCCCCCGGCCAGCCCTCTTCGGCTCGAGCCCCCCCATTCCGAAGAGCGGCGCGCTTCGAAGACGGACGCATGCAGGCTGACGGGTTACCTGGCCTCCGCCACCGTGCAGCAGTAGCTGCCGCTCCGCCGCGAGCTCCTGCCGACATGCAGCTCCTCCCGAGACTTACGCCGATTAAAGTAGTCCGTGAGTTTCCCGAAAGTCGCCATGGTGGCTTTCTCGCCTGACGGGGGGGGGGCTTTTTTGGGGCTTTCCCGTCGCCTTCGGCCAAGCCGCCTCACCGACCCGCGGACTCGGCGTCTGGGCTCACGGGGACCGGGATGACGGCTGCGAGTTTGAGTCCTCCCCTCGCGCCATGGGCCTCTTGTGCAAACCTCTCAATGTCGAGAAAAATGAGAAGAAGAAGAAAAAAGAGGGAGCAAATCTCCACTCTGCCTCTCTCATTTGCTGCTGCGCACACAGCCGGTGTCTCAAAATAGTCACGTTTGGAAGTGTCTCCCAACGGAAATGGCAGGAGCGGTGCAGTGCCCCCCTGAGGAGGAGGAGGAGGAGGAGGCGGCGGAGGCGGCGAGAAGGGAGAAGAAGGTGCACGCGAGGGACGCGATGCATCGGCGGCGGTCCTCGCGCGGCGTACCGAAGCCGAGGTGCTGCGACGCTTGTCCGCCCCAACCCCGCCGCTCTTGTTTTTCTTGTCTCCGATTCTTTCGCAGTGCCCTCTGGATGAGCACAAGCGCCGCCTCAACCAATGGGCAGAGTCTTCCGGCCGTCTGACGGCGCGCTAGCTTTTGCACAGCGCCCCCACCCCGCCGGGCTGCGCGGTCTCGCTCGTTTTCTTCATCAGCACCAAATGCGCAGAGGCAGCGCTTGGCGGCGAGCGAGTGAACGGGCGGCAGTTCCCCAAACAGCCGCCACCCCGGACCGCGCGTCTCCCTCGTGCGGCTGCGCCCATTCTCAACGCTGATGCAATTCGTCCCGTTGAAAAATAGCCAGATACAAGGACAGTGGATGACATTTGGCCACGCCGTTTCACGCGCCACCAAAAGTATCCTGCCAGCTCGTGACCGACAAACATTTCCTCATGCGCTCACTGTAGTTTGGAGTGGGCAGGTCGGGGCAAAATGCGGGCCGGGCCGGCAGCGAAAGCGCGCTGCGCTTGTCGCTACGCGGCTCGGATATGGGCTTGCTTGATCGGCGGCAGACAAGACAGAAGCGAGTCTGAGCAAGGCTCAGGTTCGTGTTTACAAGCGACGCCGCAATTCTCAGCCCGATTTCCGACGCGGCGTAAAAAGGGGGCGAAACCAAGAGAGGGGCGTTAACGCGCTGACCTTTTGGATTGAAAAGCCCGGAAAAGTTGATCGGCAGATGTTCACACTGCTACGCTGTGCGCCAGCGTCCCTCCCCTTACAAGCAGACGTCGCAACTAAATCACCAACGTGTCGCCGTCAGAGCATCAACCTGGACTCCTTCGCCTCCTCAACCTTTTGACCAAACGTTGGAAATGAAGGGCTGCGTCGCCCTCTAGTGGTCTTTTGGTGCCGACGGGCCTCAGACGCCACGCAGCTCCCCTCAATACGCGAAGCCCGAGCTCATGGCTTGATGACAGAGGCCACACTTGAATCGACCTGCTGCCCCACACGCCAGAGCTCGCAGAAGCCATGAGACCAAAACAAAAAAACGATTCTCCACTCACGGTGCCATGTCGGCGCGAAAGAATGGGCAACAACAGCTCCAGGAAACCCCCAAATAGAGTCAGGAAGTACATCTACTAAAGCGCAATGGATACGAATGTGGTCACAAAT